TCCACCTGGAGCGTGACACTGACCAGCAGAAGCCTGGCAGGAACTTCCGTGTCCGTGTGGAGCTGGAGTGCAGGTGCCCGAGGGAGTACCAGGGTATGAACATGCTGTGCTTCCAGCACCACCCTGATGTGATTAGGAGGAGGACTGGGCAGCCCATCCTCCTAGACACGCTGTGCACCGGCTCCTACCTCGACGTGAAGAAAACTGTCCACTGGTTCCGCGCACTGGTGGGAGCAACCTGGCAGCGCTTGCCCCAGTCACGCAGTTGGCATTTAGTGCTGCTGCCCTCCAAACGCTCCTGCAACCTCAGGCTGACCAATGGCCAAGAAAGTTTCCAGGTTAAGGTGCTGTTCGGAGTGCAACGATACATCTCAGACATCTATATCAGCAGCCGGCATCGAGGGGCCCAGACCCCAAACACAATGTGGCCTGAGACCTACGCCGTGGCAGAGACAAAGTTCTTCAGGCACATGGCCAGGCAGACCCCGCAGGACAGCTCGCACCTTAAATGCCTGCAGCTTCTTGCCTGTGTTCTTGCACGCAAGGACTTTACCATCCATACCATCAAGACCATCATCATGCACCTGCTGCACACAGTACCAGTGTCACGGTGGCACAGGAGACACTTCCTGCTTCAGCTGTCGGATGCTCTGGAGCAGCTGCGCTTATCTTTGGAAGAGAAACACCTGAAGCATTTTATTGTGGGCAACCAGAGGCTTCCAGAGGAGATCAGGCTGCCCCCAGATGTACAAAGGGCTAAGCCACTCAACCTCTTCCACAGCCTGGCGCAGGATCCAGCTGCCCACTCCCAGGCGATGCAAGCCTACTTTGATCTGCGCCATCGCCTGGCAAGAGTGCTGGCCTATGGCCACTGTTAGCAGGGCCCATAGAATCACAGAATCCGAGAATCACAGAATCACTAGGTTTGAAGAGACATTTAAGATCATCGAGTCCAAACCATGCCCTCACACTACCTCAGCTATACCATGACACTGAGTGGCATATTCCATCTTTTTTTAAACACATCCAGGGATGGTGACTCCACCACCTCCTCTGGGCAGATGATTCCAGTACTTTATCACACTTTCAGTAAAAAACTTTTTCCTAACATGCAACCTAAATTTCCCTTGGCATAGCTTAAGACTGTATCCTCTCATTCTGTCAGTTGCTGCCTGGAGAGAGAGACCAACTTCCACCTGACTACAACAACCTTTCAGGAAGTTGTAGAGTGATAAGGTTGTCTCTGAGTCTCCATTTCTCCAGGCTAAACAACTCCAGCTCCATTTGTCTTAGGGCTTGTGTTCTCAGCCCTTCACCAGCCTTGTTGCTCTCCTTTGAATGCATGTGGGGCTTGCAGCTGGTGGCAGAGAACCAGCTTTTAGTGCCATGACAAAGACAGGAATGAATGGAATACACAGAGAGATAGATATATGTATATATAACTACAGTGTGTATATATAACTACCAATATTTTTATTAACAGCTGTGTTTTAATAGATATATATTACAGTGATAGCTTATAAATTATAATGTTATTTTATTAAAATAAATAGCACATATATAATGTCACTACCTGTGATATGTATTAATACTCTGTAGTTACTGCATTTATAAGAGGCAAGATTTTTATTACACAGATATATTTATAAAATATATATTATACATATATTGTATTTAATACAAAACAATATTTTAATACATAAAAAGGAAATGAAATAACCATTATATCTAATTCCTATATAATTACACAGAATAAATTATAATTAAATATGTACAGTGTTATATAATTAAAAATAATCACAATATAAATATGATAATAGAACAATATAAATTTAATATGTATATCATGTTAGTATGTATATCTGTTTGGACACATATTAATGCTCCACAGTTAGTGTACGTATGACTGGCAAACAAGAAACTGCTGTGCTGTTCTTTCAATAAAATGCAGTCTTGCAGAATCTGGAGCATGCAAGACTTCCTTGATCTCAGCCAGATCTATAGTATTGGAAAAAGTCACACACTGGGAATCTGGGCTTGTGAACAGTCTCCATGAACTCAACCAAACTTACACTGCTGAATTGGTTCTAACCAGCAGTTAAGCCCAGGTGTCCCTGGCCCCTCTGATCCCAGAATCACAGAATGGCTCAGCTTGGAAGGGTCCTTAGAAATCATCTTGTTACAACCCTACTGCCAAGGGCAGGGACACCTTCCACCAGGCCAAGTTGCTCCAAGCTCCATCCAACCTGGTCTGGAACACTGCCAGGGATGGGGCAGCCACAACTTCTGTGGGCAGCATGGCCCAGCACCTCACCAGCCTCAGGGGCCAGAATTTCTTCCACATCTCCAGCCTAACCCCACCCTCTGTCAGTGGGAAGCTTCTGCCCCTGGTGCTGTCCCTCCAGGCCCTTGTAAGCAGCCCCTCTGCAAGTCTCGCTGAGCCTCATGCAGGGACTGAAAGGCTGCAGGAAGGTGCTCCAGGAGAAGCCCTTGGAGAGCACTGGGGGCCAGGACTGCCACCATCAGGGCAGCTAGCGGGGCCTGGCATGGCCGTCGGGGCAAGAGGGCACAGGGCAGGCGCTGAAGCCCTGCCAGCTGGAGCTGGGAGCTCTGGTGTGCAGCCCAGCAGAGAGCTGTGGGCTCCTGCAGCTCTGCATCCCTCATGGCTGAGGCAGCTGGCCAGGGACATGTGGCCAGCCCGGTGCCACCCTCTGGGGCATTCGTGCTCTGGGGCCAGAGTCTTTTGTGGCTGTGAGATGAGTGGCTAGCATGACTTGGGCCCCTAGGGTGGTGACAGGTGTGCAGGGGAAATTGCCAGCCCAGAAAGAAGCAACAGCAAATAGTCCCCAGCATGGCCATAGTAATACTGGTGTCTTACAATGGCTGTCTCTCTTTCCATGTGGAAGTAGCAGAGGAGAAATAGCAGAAGGGGTATCTATAAATAATAAGTACCTTTCAGTACCAATAAAGCTTCACCAATATTGGATGGGTATTGCACTGCTTTCATCATTGCAAAATTACCAGGAAAAAGGGCCAGCAGGGGTAGGTAGGCCAACACAGGCACAGCTGGGAACTGAAGACAAGTTTCTGGCCCAAAATCTTTCTTCAGGTCAGAAATGTATGAAGTAGATTTTTCAGAGAGTAATTAGATATGTAGGAGTCAGACCACCCTGAAAGTAAAGGCAGCAACTGATTTCCACAAAAAAGGGACAGTAGCGGAAAGGCAGGATGAGAGAAAGAATTAAAAAAACCTCACGGTTTTGCATACAAAACAGTCTCTTAACAGGGCTTCTTAGGAGTGTGTAAGAGGCTGGGCCATTCACTCCTTTTTTGTTCTGTATATCTCATTGTCTCTTTTTTGGTCATATCTGCATGTCCTTTTGTTCTCCTGATTGTCTTTCCATACTGTTTCTCCCTACTCTCACCTTCCACAATTCCATCAGTGTTACAAGTCCTAGCAAGCAGATATATTAATTAATTCAGCTACAATATAGAAACCTCTCCCTTTTCAATTTTTTGCAGGAACAACAAAGCAATGCAATAATGTAATCAGCTCCTGATGGTAGAAGTTGACTGGAAACTGCTAGAAGCTTGCCATGGGAAGAAACAATTTTATTTTGGAGAATGAAATAGCAGATAGCATTCCACTAAATCACAACAGTAAGGCAAAAGGTGTAAATAAGAAGCTGGAAGCTACTTGGATAACAGAACAAACTGGCTTGGCAAGAGCACTGACAATAATGCCTGACTCAACTCAGCCAGGAAACGTGTACAATAAATATCAAAGCAGGTAGGATGCACTAAGGAACAGCAGCAGAACACACTCTGATGTTATTGGTACACTCATAATTTAATTTCAGATGAATCAAAACCATGAGCCAAGGCTTGGGATCATGTAATCCAGCACTGCTAACACACACACACTTTACAAACACCAGAGCCTAAGTGCTGAGCTCAGAGACAGCGCTGGATAGCTTGCTTAATTAAACTCCAAAAGGGACATCAGCTTACGCAGAATAATGGAGGGGGATAAATCTGGAATGAAGAAGATGAGCTAAAGACAGCAGTGGTTAAATTAAATATTAATATCACTGTGTGGAATCAGATGGCCAGATTAGATCCAGAATTTTCTTTGGGGATTGCTGGACAGACACTGTTGTTTTTTTCAATTTTGACTGCACAAGAGTGGTTTTATGGTGTCCCTTGTCCTGGAAAAAATAATAATAAAGCACCACAAAAGAAAATGGATCCTGGGCAGCAAGCTCAGGTGTGGTCTGGATGACCAGCACAGAGCTGAGGGGATGTGATTTGTGGGGAAGCCTGTGCAGCAATGCTGGCTGGGGACTGCACCTGTTTCTGCACAGGCTTCCCACAACACATTCTGCAGCCAAAGCCACGGCTGTGGGACATCTGGCACCTCGGGTGAGGCACAGACTGAGAAACCCCTCAAGCCTGCCATTGATCAGAGGGACCCATGTAAAATGCTGCTTGAGACACAGGCAGCCCCAGCACTGCCACGACATTATACCACAATATAACAAAAATATTAAGCTATTAAAGAGTGTCCAAAGGAGGGCAAGCAAGATGGCGAAGGGTTGTGAGGGGAAGCCATACAAGAAGTGCCTGAGGTCACTTGGTTCTGTCCAACCTGGAGGAGACTGAGGGGAGACCTCATCAATGTCTATAATTTCCTCGTCAAGGGAAGAGGAAGGACAGGCACTGATGTCTTTTCTCTGGTGACACGACCCGAGGGACTGGCCTGGAATTGTATCAGGAGCAGTTTAGGTTGGATTTAAGAATAAAGTTCTTCCCCCAGAGGGTGGCTGAGCACTGGAACAGGCTCCCCAGGGAAGTGGTCACAGCCAAGCTTGGCACAATTCAAGGAGCGTCTGGACAACGCTCTCAGGTATATGGACTGTTTGGGCTGTCCTGTGCAGAGACAGGAGTCGGACTCGATGATCCCTGCGGGTCCTTTCCGAGTCAGGAGTTCCCGCAGCACCGTCCCCGCCCTCCCCGCCGCCGTTCGCAGCGCCTCCCGCCATCGCCCCCTGCCGCGCCCCGCCGGCACCGCAACAATGGCGGCGCCCGCGGCGCCCGCGTGAGCCCGACGCTGACCGCGGCTGCCGTGAGTGGGGACGGGAGCCGAGACTGGGGCACGGCCGGGGCGGGCCCGGCCGCCGCTCCCGTCGGCACCGCCGCACCCACGAGAGCCTCGCCGCCCCTGCCGGCGGGCTCGGCCCGGCGCAAAATGGCCCCGGGGGGCGGTCGGGGCCACGGGGGGGCGGGAAGAGGCGCGGGAGGGGGTGGGTTTGTACCGGGAAGTCCCGTCGGGGCCCCGAGCACCGCAGCTCCGCGGCGACTGCGGGGAGCGGCGGGCGCCCACAAGGACGGCGGGGATCAGATGTGGGGCATTGAGCGGTGGCATCGCGGCGCGGGCAGCTAAGCCGTGAGGCGGGCGGGGGCTTGCTCAGTGACCCCGAGAGCCTGAGCACGTTTCCTCTCGGACCCTGTTAATGGTACTTGCACTTAAGACACTTCTCGGCCGCCTTCAGAAGAGGAGTGCGAGGCAGATTTGTCAGGCAAGCTACAAAGAAAGCCTGATATGCAGACAGTAATCAGAACTGCGGCAGAAAAGATCTCTGGTTGTTTAAAACAGGCCCGGGCCCACGGTGCCCTGTACTGTGGGGAGCTCGGTGGCAGGAGCACAGCCAGCGGAAATGTGAAGATGCAGGGTGAACATAAAGCAGGTTGGTTGCAGTGACTCATCCACACAGTAAGGAATCTACAGTCAGATTTACTTTGTTATGCAGGTATAGCTGGTGAAGCACGCAGGTTGTCTTGAGCAGGTTTAATGTTCAAACACTGCAAAGGAAAGGGATTACTCTGATTCTTTATGAAAATTGAAACTTCCCTGTTTAAGTCTGCTCTGATCACTGAAGCAAACATGATTTTCCCTATCCCTTCTTATCGGTGAGGCTGGTTGCTCCGGCTTTCCAGCCTAGTTGTTTTCTTTCTGCTCATTCACACGAACTCTTTAAATGCAAGAAGAGAGCATGTAACTTGAAGAGTGGCCTGTGTTTCTTCTTTTAGAGCCAATTTTTTTGATGAATTGAAGTGCAGAAACAAATTTCAGAAATCCGTACTACAGTCTCAAAGACTGGAGTAATAGCAGGCTGCGACAGCAAGGTGGCCCTGTTCCCCCGCCCAACTGTACATCGTGCTAGACCTCTTGCATCAGGCTTAGGGTTCAGCTGGCTTTTTGAAAGTTGGTTTTTCCAATGCATCGAGGCTTTCTGGACACGGCATGCACTGCAGCTGCACAGCCCAGCAGTAGGGTGGGTGTCATGAGCTCCCCCATTCCAGCAACAACTCCTCAGACCTGCACTTAAATCATCCAGTGTTAAACTGCAGCTACTCTTTGAGTCTAAGCTTTGACTCAAATTTGAACAGTAAACTGGTGTTTCATATCATGCAGTAGCCTGTGTGAAGGGTTCTCTAACTTGACTGGGGGTGTGGTAGAGAAAGATGAGTGCATGTTGAAAGATAACAAAATACTGCCTTTCTGCCTAGAGGTTCTTGTGCTATTTAAGACGTGGCAAAATTGCTGCCCTCACTATCTCAATTATTTTAGTGCTGAAATATCCCAGATCAGCCAAATTCCATTAAACACAAAGTGCAAAGGAAAGTTATCTTAAACAAGCAGGGTACCAGTTGTAAAGTTGTTGCATTTACTCCCCAAGGAAGAAAGGATTCTCATCAAGAGGGGGTGAGGAGGTTAGCCAAACTTAATGTGTCATTTTTTGTTAGATGAGTTTTAACTTAGACTACTGTAAATTGAATGAAAAAACATGGAGAAGGGAGATAAGGAGCTTTTGGGATTAAAAATAAAAATAAACCCCAAAGCCTTCATTACTATCTTACAGCTTTTTCTAAATAGTACTTTGCTGTTGCACTTCTGAAATTAATGAAGTGTGCATAGATTATTGCTGAATGTATTTTACTTCAAAGCTGGTTATTCCCCAGAAGTCAGAGGCTTTGCATGTCTGCTATCACAGTACTTTCTAGACCACTTTTTGAATACAAACTTCTGGGTTTTGATTCAATGCCAGAGGAGCAAAATAACATCCTTACCTTTGCAGCTGTGACCACAACATAAAATCAAGCAGGAAGAAGAGCTGATGCTGGGGGTTGTTTTCACTACACTGAAGGCACCTTGAGATTTGGAGCTCACACAAAGAGATGGGCCCACTCACACCCTGTGGCTGTTAGAAGAGCACTTGGCTTTTCTTCTAGAGCTTTAGCCAGCACTGCATCTTCTCTGTTAAGCAGCCCAGCTTCCCCTGTGTGAGCAGTGCTGTCGCACAGCAGCTTCCTCCATTTGCATGTGCTGCCTTACCCAGGCTGCAGCACAGCCCTCGGAGCACGGTTTGGTAGCAGCCCAACTTGTGGTTCTGGGAGTTAGGAGGAGGCTCTAGGCACGGTTCTGAAGGGTGGCTGCATCAGCTCTAGACAACTTTTGTGTGCAGGCTTCTCTGCTTGTCGTAAGTCCCAGCTGTACAAGTGCCACTAAAAGAGAACTCAACAAGTGATGTGTGTGAATACCTGCCTTGAAATGCTTGCATATTCAAGCAAATGGGAGAGAAGTGGGGGAAGAAAGGCACTAGCTGGATTTTTCTATTTCTCTGTACTGCTGTTAGTGACTCAGTTTACAGTTTTGGGCTGTGGTTTTGCATAACCGAGGAGGTTGCAGAAAAAGGCTATAATATGTCTCAGTTTCTGGGAGGAGCAGTTAAATGACCACCAGGCTAATGTGGGAACTAACCTCTTGAAGATGCAGTTTTTACTTTTTTATACTCAGCATATTGTAAGGAATAGAAAGTTCTTGAGAGTATGCTTCTGAAAAGCTACCTGATACACAAGAATATTGGAATATGTTAGAAAAATTTCAAGTTATCTGTTCAGCATAGTTCAGTCTTTTCCCTGTTGTGAGTAACTTGAAAAAGCATCACCAGGTATTTTATTGTGACATTTGTCTTTTAGTATGTTATGAGGATCTTTTCTGGTATTAGAATGTTGTGACAGAACCCTTTAATCTGCTGTGGTGCAGTGGTGGATTTTTAACAACTGCACAGCAGTAATAGCAGTTGAATTTAACCACCCCAACCCCCTTCCTCCAGGGCAGAGTAATTAGCTTTTCTTGGTGTTTAAGTGTTTTCACTAAGTGTTTGCATAGCATACCACCAGCTAGAATACATAGCCCCATTTCCAGAGCTCTCTGAAAGTACTCGACATATCTTCGGTACACAGTAGGTAATAGGGTCTTTGCCCTGCCTTTCTTACCCCTCCCTTCACCAAATAAAAAGTCAATCCTGCTGTTAATTTGATCACTATAAACACAGTAAGCCCAATTATCCATTACATCAAAATGTATTCTGCCATCATGACATTAGACCTCTTATGGATCAAACTGGAGGCAAGTGAAGAGGGAATGTTTTCTTTTTTTCCTATTTGTAGCTGTATCTGCTTTGAAGATTGGCTTTGTAAGCTTCTCCCATTAACTAACAAAGAGATAGAAATCTTCCACATCCCTGTGTGCCTTCTCCAGATGTGGATTAAGTTCATTAATGGCAACAGTAATCTCCCAGACTGTCTGACAGGTGTTGATCTGTGCACCAGCACTAGTGCAGATTCTCGCTTTGATGATGTGAAATGAGTGAGAGCCAAGAGCGTGGGTTTGAAGCAGATTGTTTCCATGTACTGCACTTTGACTTGAACATGAAGTTCAGAGGCTGCACCACCAGTGAATGCTCAACACTCTCCACAACTCAATGGTGGTAAAGTCCGTGAGGGCAGGCAAGGACTAACCTAAACCAACCACACACACAGAACCCATAGTGGGAACACAATCCTCAGCATCGGGTATTTTCATTTGCAGACTCATGCGTATTCCTGCTATAGACATAGCCAGCAATAATTATAAGAATCCAGTCTAGCATTAAAATAATTAAAATTGACATCTTGAACTCCTCCAGAAGGAAGACCCATAAGAAGTAGCAATATCCATAAGGAAATTAGATCCAACAGAAGTCTAAAACAGTCCCAAAAGACTTCACACCACTCCTTTTCAGTCTTTTAGCAGTCTACAGGAGCCTCTGCAACTGGTTATGTGGTGTTGGTGAACACCAGAAACTGAAGGTGTAAACAGAGTGATACACCAAGATCTGGACTACTCAAAAAGACACGGTCATCTGAGCAACACTCATTTTGGTGTAACATGAGGGATCCATTGCCTGAGGCTGGGAAATATATGTTGGGTACCTGGGAGGTAGGCTGAAATAAAAAGATAACTCAGAGTACAGAGGCATTTATGGATACAGATAGTTCAGTTTGGCAGGTTGTAAGTAAGTAGAAGGAATGCAAGTCTTGCCAGAGATAAAAATAATTAGATTTGTCCTGTCATGGCAGGAGAGAAGCATGAAAGAAGTTTTTTAACATTAAAACCAGGCACAGAAACAAAAGTTAAAACGTTAGAGAACTGCAAAAACCTGGTCTGGAAAGCATGTGAGATAAGAGTGATTATGATTCATTTGATAGGCTTAGAGAAAATTCAGATACTTTCCATACAGGTGTGGTTTTACTAGAGATTGCTGCTGGGCTGCTATTCAGCCTGCTGGGAGAAAAAGTGTAAGCCAGTAGGGGAAATACAGACCTTGCCAGGTAAAGAGTCAAGGATAATTTAGATGGACACACAGTGAAGAAAACAAGCCGTGAAATACCTTACTTAACAGGAGGGTGGTTTTTCTTGAGGTCTAAAAATGAGGAATACTATTATCTTGAAAATCCTTCATGTCTTGTCTGCATGATACAGACATCACGAAGTCTTACATATAGCCTTGCTTACTCTGATTTCTGGTATAATTTTCTTCTGGCCCCTGCACAAAATTAAAACCTCTTCAAAATACATGGTTAGCATCCCTTCAGTGGCCTTGGTGGTACTGGTTGTCCAGTAAGTATCTTACTGATGAGCATTCTGAGGAAGGAAACACAGCCTACCTGTTTACAAAAGTGACACAGCACTGTTTTTGCATGACTTATCACACATTTAACTTCTAGTCAATAAAATCT